GTGTGTATTTTGGGAGGCTGCGATATGTTCGTGTTTGTCTCCTTGTGATAGCGCGGAACTGATGCCGACTTTATAGTGCTACCTCACTGAAACATACTGCCGAAGACACCCAGCAGGACGCCCCACCCGGTCACATTATACTGACAACGGGCGAACCAGTCGTCCCACTCCTAATTTGCTGAGCGTTAAGCAGGAGTAGAAACTGCCATTTTTAAAGACTTTGGTATGTCTCGGCCAGGGGACAGAACCCAAAGCCTTCCTCACAGGGGCGAACGCTCAACAAATGGCCAAAAGTAAGGCATTGTCAAGGGAGACATTAGGAAAAAGAAAGTTATTTAGAAAGGAGAGAAGAGATAAGGTCCCAAATTCAGTCGCCTCTTACGATCATGCAATTGGGGGCAGCAGGTACAATTCTTACGCCCTACCTGCAGGGCAGATACCGACTATTCTTAAAAGCCAGGAAGTCTTTAGAGCTGCTCCAGCCAACTAAAGATGCATTCGCGTTACAGGTTAAGAGAGCAGCTTATCAAGCAATGATCTGGATGAAAGCAGCTGATGCAGATTTCGAGCCAGAGGATTCAACAAATATAGGCTGTTGGGTTATAGAGTCGAGTGTACTGAAACCAGTTTGGATGAGCAAACCCTTGGTACCCGTCTCCTGTTTGCAGTTGGTTGCATGTGGATGCACTACAAAATGCAGCACATCAAGATGCAAATGTTATAAGTCTGGGCAGATTTGCATGTTTGAATGTAAATGTGTTGGGAATGAAGATGACTAAATATTGGGGAATTCCATAGTTTGCTGATATTATTTTTTTGTGATTAGCCGTACATATATAAAAACAAATATCGCATCAATGAGGATCTTTTGTTGTATATGTTGAAGTATGTGTTATATAGATGTGGATAGAGGTGTTTTAGGTCGAACCTTTATATTTAATTATTTGATTTATTCACTTGTGTTCGGATCAGTCCCTTCTATTGCGCAATTCAGTGCTGCAATAACCAATAACTTTACTTTTTTTGTTGAAATAAAAGTTTTATGTCACCTCTTTTGCATGTTATCATTCCAGCAAAACAAAGTGTTGGTGTTAACCATATTTTTGTGAGGTTTGAAACTGAAAAATAGGAACAATGTTCGAATATTTCCATAAAACGGTTAAAATGCACCTAATGACCTTTTGACCTATTTAATATCGTTTTTTCAACAAATAGGGGTTGACAGCCCCCCTAGCGTGTTTTGATATATATTAAACTTTACAACTAGGATGGCTGTCGAGCATTAACAAATTTTGCCAACGCAAGTCATATTTTCTGAGATCCGAGGCAGACTAGTAGTCATTGTTACGATACACTCTAGCATCGACCATACCATAAACAACAAGACTACCACGGGGCAGAACAATATACGCCCGTCGAATGCCATATAGTGTTATATACTTTGTTACATTGAAATAAGATCTCTCTGCATCATTCTAAGAGTGGTTAGCCGACATGCTATAAAAAATGTAGGAGAAAATCTCCGGACAAAAAATCAAATACTGGATTGAACAAAGGGTCATAACTTTTGCAAAAATTGTCGAATCAAAATTCTTTTAAGGGAGACACAACTTCATATCATGGTTATAATCATACCAAGTTTCAAAGAGATCGATCGAAAAATGTAGGAGGGGATTGCCGGACAAACAAAAGTTTACGCCGGACGGACGGACGGAAAACCCCATACCATAATACTCCCGTCAAATTTGACGGGCGTATAAAAAGATATTTGAACTGACCATACTCTAATGATGGTGGTGGGCTAATAAGTATAAACATAATTTACATACATTAAAATAACCTTTTACAATACTATATTCAACAAATTTAATTACAATGTACATGAATTAAGTCAATTAAGTAGTTATAAATATTAGCCTCAATAAGGTATCCATTGGTAGTACAACAAACATTTGCTGATCTCTTATTTATTTTAATTTTCTGAAATCTTGTGATAACAGATATGCCCCTGACAAACTACAGGTGAAATAGAACAGACGATATGCCCAAGACAAACTTTTTCAAAACTTAAGGTACAAGTTTTACAATGTTGATGACACTGGCTTTGGTAAATGAGTGGCAGCTCAGGATAGGGTTTAGTTTTGCATTGTTTAACGTCCTATCAACAGCTAAGGTCATTTAAGGAAGTGCCTTCATGTATGTTGTGCATATTGGTGTATTTGCCCACTTGTGATAGTACTATAAAGTCGGCATCAGATCTGCGCTATCACAAGGGGGCAAATACAGTCGGCATCAGATCCGCGCCATCTCACTGAAATATCATGCCGAAGGCACCCAGTATAGCATTCCCTCTGGTCACATTATATCGACAACGGGTGAAGCAGTTGTTGCCATTTCCTTAAATGCTTAACGTTGAGCAGCGAATCTACCCCCTACCAGCCATCCTCAGCTAACGTTAGGCATCCCTGCAGGTCGGGGATCGAGAAAAAAAACACCTGCCGTTACCCTCGGCATGCATCGTAAGAGGTGACTAATGAGAGTATCGCAGATTTTGAAATCTGCTTTTGTACCTTAAATTAAGGGAACACGAATGCGACCAAAATACTTCTGTGGCACCCATTGTGATAGTTGTGATCTTTTTATTTCTAACTATATCTTATTTCGTAGCGCCTTCCTTAGCAATACCACGCTTTAGGCTTTAATGTTGAACGTTCGCACAGGTGGAGAAGGCAATGGGTTCTGTCTCCGGGACGGGCCCGTTCAGCATTTTAGGCAATAACAACAACTTATTCATCCGTTGTCAGTATAATGTGACCGGGCTATAAAATTGGCATCAGGCCCCACTTGCACGAACTTATATGCTTAACTTGAAGCATATGCTCAATACTTGGGTATCTACGAAATTCTCAATTCTCAATTCTTAGATTTTAAGCTGAGAATGGACCAATATTTGAGAACGGCCCTTAGCATGCTTAAGTCTCATTCTTAAATATGGCGGACATAGTCCTATTGCACGTTTCCGCTAACCGCTGTGTCAAAGGTCAACTGGATATAATATCAACATCCGGGTTATACAGCAATGGCGGGTCGCTTGAACTTGCACAGCGTAAGTCACTTTAATCGGTGTTTTTTACTTATTTACTTATGTAAGGTTAACTTTTTATACAGAAGATCATAATCTACGGACATTAATGGAAATATTTCTTATTTTCAATCATAGAGGTTCATTTATGTTTTCGTAAAAAAATCGTTTTCTTTACCCTAAACATCGCAGTTCATCTCCGACAGCGATGTTGGATAACTGATCGGATTTGCCCTGTGTGTACATTTTAATCGCACTTGATGTTTGACGATAGCCCAACCTATTTAAGATATGTATATTTAGTGACGGCTCCAGGATTGTCAGCGAGGTAAGTAAGTTCGGAAATTCATATGCGCCCGACGTCGAGTCGTCGACTGTCCCTTCGTTTGTGTGAGAAACCATGCAAGGGGGGCGGGGCACAGGGGCTCGTTACAAATTACTCCAATAAATATATGCTATACTGACATGGGTCAGAGCACGTTTATATGTGCTTTGATCCATATCAGTATAGGATATGTTTATTCTAGATAATTGTAACGAGTCCCGACTATATATACGAAATTAAATGACTCAAAAATATATTCTTTAATAACATGCGTTTAATAATTTGTCACAATCACGTACATGTATAAAATCTTTGTACATCTTCTTGTAAAATGGTATTTTTCAGTTCCAGTTTGAAACATTATGGTAAATAGCATGTTTGTTCATGGTTCCGCAGTGTTGTTGACAGTTTTGACATTTCATTTTTTGTTAACACAATTGAAAACATTTAGTTACTGTCTTCATATTGAAGTATTGACATCAACTTCTATCATGTCAGCAAGAATTTGTTGTGTGATCCATTACATGTATAAACAAAAAATACACACCATTTTCTGTTTGTTAATGCCATTTGCCCCTGAATCTGAGCATAGTAACCCAGTTTCTTTAAAGTGGGAGGGTTTGTTTTGGTAAGACAATTGGGTAAATTACATGTACAAAATGATGAACAAACTTCACACTTTTTCACCATTGGACACTTGATCTCCAGCAACCCTTCTCCACAACAGGAGCATGACAGAAGCAAATCTGGACTGGCTCCAAGAAAAGGATGCCTTTTATCTACAAAAAGTCCACATTCAGAATAAATGACACTCCTATGATGTTTACAATACAACTTCAAGAAGTCTTTCTTTGCAACAGGTTCCATTTCTCTGCCATACTTGAGAGACTTAACATTTGGGTTTACTGTTGTATATCCCATAATATTTTTTATTAGAGGCTTAACATCACATTCCACCTTTTTTTCATAAGAACAAACTTTGGTGTCCACTGCATGGAAGTTTGATGCAGTTATCCTTCCTTTCCTCATTTCGGTCCAGCGATGGTTATCTGACTGACCAGTAGTAGCCTCCTGAATTGACTGTACATCATCAGATGCCAGCTCATCTATAGATTTGGAAATTAGTACCTCCATGGTAAATTTGGACAGATCTTCTGTCTTCTCTGGTTGTTGGATTAATACTTTCTTCTTTGTTTTCATGAATATATTTCTACATGATAATTATGTCAAACCGCAAGATGATTGAGTATGTACCCCCTGACCGAGTTTTAAAAATTATGCAAACATCTATATATTGATTAAGTGATAATTACAATTAACTTTTAAAGTATGCTGTTTACATGTATAAATATTCATATATTTATGTGTCAATCATCTATGATCACTAGCTATCCACAATTGGGTCGCAGGTTCAATGGCCATAGCTGTTAATAGGCCTTAAATAATATAAAACCTTATATCATCATGCATGCATAAATACAAACAAATTAGCCTTTGATTTAGTAGACTGGTCACTGTTATGCCATAGCCTGAGAGTTTATTATGTCATTATTGAGATTTTGCACTTCAGTGCAGTCCCTGCTCAATCATTTTAATAGCTCGGTTAATTATGTGAAAAGAGTTGAATATGACCAGCGCAGAGACTGGGCTCTCAGGATGATTGATCAGGCGAACAACAACTGAACAGGTTTTTTGACATATGCCATGTATATTGTATTTGATTTGGGTTGGAATGGAGATGTGAGGTATACTATTGATTGTAATGTATGTCAGAAAAGTATATTAGCTACAGTGAGTGACAAACAAGCTACATAATACATACATATGTATGTTGACAGTTGTACCTCTGCAGACTCAATTAGAAGCTCTCCTGCATGAGGAAACAAAATGTTCAGAGAGTTGAACCCTGGCAACTTCAACCATGATCGTACATATATTACTGTATACCAGGTATATATAATTGCTGGCCAGGGATAATAAAATGTCTGGACCCCACTGTAGCTAAGGCAAAACAAATATAAATAACTGAATTACACTTGTACCAGGTATGATATCAATGATGTAGTAAATAGTAAGTATAATGTTTACGTATTCTCTAAATATTAAATGTGTACCTTTCAATACACAAGCGTTCGGCTGGACCTATACAAGCTTTGCCATCATGCTTTTCTGAATCGCCTCAGTATCCACTTCGCAGAGAAGCACATTGAAAGCAGCCTTTAATTTTCCAACTAATGGTCTGGAAGCTTGCAAAATAAGTAGCTTTTTAAAAAATCAAGGTTGACTCACAATGATGTGAAATGTCTTCCATAGATACAATGTATTTAAGTAAAACTTGATATATCAATGTTTCATTTTAACAAAAACTGTTAAAATGTCTTTCTATCAAAAATCTCACCAATTCAAGATCATCGTGTGTGAACTAGTTTTATGAAGATTCTATAATGAAATAGTTACATCTGTTTAGAAGTTACGGGAACATGAATGCAACCTGTTTTCTTTTGGGAAACCTCCTAAGCAATGAATTGACAAACAGTACTATTAGCACTACTAAATTACCAGTAAACATGTAAGTGCTACTGCTGACAAACTGAATAAAACTGAAATTTAACTTACCTTTTTTTACCATATTGCGATTTCTTGAAATCCATGTCCTTCAGTTTGCTTGGTGGAAGTGGAGCGGTCTTACCAGGGGTAACCCAAACACATTTACTGGAGGTGCATGATGTCAGTCCCGTGGTATTTGCATGCTCAATGCGGAAGAGCAGTCCTGCCACATGGTTACATGTCTGACCAAGACTATAAAAAAATAACATGCATTTAAATCATGTTTAAACCTGATAAAGTCATAATTCCCCACATGCATTTTAGTCACAGAATTGGAGAGACATGCTTACTTGCAATTTAAATAATTGTACATTCATGTATATATATCTAACTGATTGTATATAAAGGTAACTAGTAGTATTTCATTTTTATAATGGATCATGTTTTCCTGATAAGCCACAAGGAAGATGTAAGGTATTAATATATTATGGAACACGCCAAATATAAATTTATTGTTACCTTATCGACAGAATGTGTCATCATATTATCTCCATTAAAATGGTTACATTGTACTCAACATGTGTATATTGTCATTGATCTTACCCAGCTGTACAGGAGCAGTAGGCTGATTGTATTTCTCCTGTTTTCTTTACACAGCAAACCCACACAGTATGGGGATCCAAGTTCAATCGCCGAGATGGAACACATCTGGCCCTCATAAAACATACAGTGGATTGTGGGGATATGTGATGATAAAAAACTTCTTTTAGCCACTGGGAAGCAAAATACTCATACGCTTTTCCAATCTTATATTGATTTAGGTGAATCCGAGCTTGCTCTTCATGTTCACTTGTCATCAGGAAGGTTGTTATATCTGTGATAAATACTGCAGGCCATAAAACCATTCCCTACTTCTCGTCCACCCACTTGTCAAAAATGGTCAAAGGGTCCGGTAGAACAACACCATCAATACATAACAGTTTATCATAATGTATCTTATTTTCCGCCGACAGTTCAATAGATGCTTTTTTCAGTGGCAAATTCAATTTATGTGCAGCAAAGCATAAAGCAGCCAATTCCGATCTGTTGCCATTTTGAGACAGTCCTCGATCGCAGAGGTACTTACGGAGAGCGTCTAGTTTCCAGTGAAGAAAGTCGTCTAAAGCCGACCCAGCGGTGTCCATGGTTTAAATTGTGTAAATATATGATACAAATCACTATATAAAGGTATTGTCTAAAATAGTTTCAGTGAAAAAAATGCATATAAAGTATAACAACATACACGAAGATTCCACAGCTTTGTTACGGATGTTTACAACATTACCGGAAGGCCTAGTATATCCAGTTGACCTTTGACACGAATAAATAATGACCTAAAACAAGATGGCGGACGCCATCGTGCAATAGGACTATAGATCGAGCACTTCATCTTCCGCTTCAGAGAACTGTGTCAAGTCGAGTGAATTTTATTCAGAAGCCAAGAGGGTATCTTTAACATAATTTCATGGTAGGCATAATGAATGATGCATGTGGACCACTCAAAGACAAACAGAGGCAGGTCCTTTCTGTTTTCACATCTGCAGTTTGGTGCGATAAGACTAAGGTTTTCGTCACACGTCATGCATTGGAGACCCACTCCGGTCGCTACTGTGCTCGGCATTCCAACTCGATATCGAATGTCGATGTATGTTGTTGCCGCCAACTTTAAATATTTGCAACAGAACAAACACTTGCTAAATAACGAGTTATAAATTCTATGCACTCGCAGTTCCGTAAACACAAACTTTATTAATGTAAACGACTGTCAGGGCCCCCTATCGGCGACCTCTATTCGTAGTACTAAATACTGTATGGGACTCGATGTGTCCGCCTGCTCACCATCATTCGCCATGACTTCGTATAAAGCAGTATTATCAATCCAGTCTGCTTTGGTCAATTGTAACACCACAATCTGAGATATTCCCAAAACGTGATACATAATTACCAATAGACAATGTAGATTGTAGGTCTCCATTTCATGATATTCATATTTATTTTTATTAATACAAAGTCACTGAATCTTTTAATGTAGAGCACAAATTTAATTAAATCTCAGTTACACAAGACTTTACAAAGAACATGATATATCTAATTTTATGAGAGAAACTGTTTCTATAATGCAAATTAAAAGTCTGCTATAATGCCTTTGGGCAAATCAAAAGTCTTCTGTTGAACACCAGACTTTTAATTTGCCAAAGGGCATATCTCTTATTTCTTTATTTTCAAACAGTGATTGTGAGTTTTGAGACTTGCTTTTTAATTTTAAAAAATCCACCTTAATCCAACAAGGTGTTTTTAACTTTGCCAATTGCTAATTAGTATTTTAAAGCTAAGAAAAATATCTGATTATTTGATGAAAAAATAATTTGAAAATTTTCATTATCTATTTACATTTTTAAATATTATTTTTGGGGTTGGGTGTTAAGTGTAATTAAATAGTCATGTTTTCACATTCAATATATTTGTGTGCTGTTTAAATTTTAGAGATAAACTAACTAAGAGCCCTATAACTTTGTCTTTATTATTTTCTTATATTCAGATATTCCTCCTTGTTGGTGGTACATGCATGTTCAGGGATAGATTTGTGATATCAAATTTTAATTTTTGTTTATAAAATGACACAAACAAAATTTTCAGTTAGACTTTATGGTATTCAGTTATTTTTTTATTATCTCAGACATTAACAAAAGTATATATTCTTGTAACCTTCCAAAATGAGACAGTCTTATAACCTGACACTCACTGACCAGAACAACATGTGTTCAGTTACAAGCTGTTGCAGCTAGAGGATGCTAGAGGTCACACATACCTGAAAAATATTAAATAGGAAAAGTTGAAGTTACTATTATGGTCCATCTGTATGTGATATAGAAATGGATAAATGTGTCATATTAATTACAATTAGACACTAATGAAATTGGTGACCACATTGCTACACATTTTGAAATTAGTATTTTTAGTGATATATAACAGGTGCCATACTGTACATGTAATTTGCAGGTGCCCCTCTGTACATGTATTTAACTGAACCTGTATGAAGATCTGGGAACAGGGTTATTTTGAGAAACAACTTAAGGTGATTATTAATAAGTTTATTGTGAAACTAAATAACATCGATTTGTCAAATCACAACTGAGCCATACTCATAAATCTTATGAACGAAAAATTAATGTATAAAATGTATAAATAAAATTTCATTCTTCATTGTACTTCTTTAGATCATCAGTTCTGCTTATACAGTTTATAAAGGGGAAGTACTCTATATAATGTATGAATAATATAAACATATTTTTTACAATACATATATTGTTTTCTGTAAAACATTGTATAAAATGTATTCATCGCTAAAATTATATTGTGATAAAATCATTCTGCAAAATGCGGAACTGATTATATTACAAAATGTCAACATAAAACTAAAACACTTTTGGATTGATGTATTTAGGGCAAGGAGAAAAATTAAGGAAAAATATGCCCTTCTGGTTCAACAATAAGATTACAACAGGAAATATAAGTATATTTTACAGAGAATGGTACAATAAAGGAATAATGGTAAGTAATGATCTAATCAGAGACAGAAGTACCAATGCAATTTAGACATTTCAAGAGTTCAAACAGATTTATGATATTAATACAAAGTTTGTATCATACCAGGGTCTACTTACTGCATTAGAGAGTATATTATGTCAAATGTAGAGGTAAGCTATCCATTTATACCAATAAAGATAGAAAAGTTTTTGAAAAATAAAACAGGGATAAGATATTTGTTATTTCAACAGGTAAAAAAATGGGATGATATATTTGAATCTGATGATGAAATTTGGAAACAAAGATTACCAAACTACAGTGACATTAGTACACATTTTGACAACTATCAGGTAATGTATATTTGATTAAAGTAGTTATATATAGTAGATAGCCCTTACTGTGAACTGTAACACAGAAATAGAGACAACAGAGCATGTATTATGGCCTGGGGATGTGACAAAGTACAAAATCTTTTACAAAATTTTGAGTCCTTATTATAAGCAATAATTAATCCATTTGATTTTAATATGCATGACCTTAGCTGTTAATAGGACGTTAAACAAAATCAAACAAATAAACATTTCTATTAAGTGCCTTTATCTATACAAGGAATTAAAAGTTCAATTAAAGAACATTTCAATATTCAAAAATATATTGCAAATGATAAAGAGGAAAACTATCTCATTAACTTCAAGAAAAAATGGATAAAACTTATTGATATTTCTTTAACCTACGATTTGTCGATTATGTTTTACCTTATTTGTATTTTGTTATAATTTGAAAAAGAAAGAGACAGAATTGCAACATATTACCTCAATTACCTAGCTACTGACATTGTTTTGTTTAATATTTTTTCTTCTCCACTGTCAACCTGTCTTTATTGCTTCTATTTCTTTTTTCTTGTTTCTCTTTATCATATTTTCTTTCCTTCCTTGTATATAACAATAAATTGCTACTTACAAAAAAGAAAAATATGGATTAGTATGAAAGTATGTGTAAAAGTGGAATTTATTATGCAAAATGTATATGTTACTGTAATGTGAAAAAAAACTTTGAAAAAAAAAGTGAATAATGTGAAATTTACCGGTAGTGGAAATTCTTATTATATGATAGCAGTTTTACATATTCTTCTTTTGGTGTTAAATCTAACTTTACTACTGACTTTTTATATCATTTTACTGGTATATATGTAAATGTTGGTCACACCCCAACATCATTTTGTAAAAGTCAATCCTTAGTCAAAAAGACAAACTTGGTTATATGCACCTTTAAGCTTTGTCACAGCACAAAACCACAACATGTAACAGTTGTAATTTATCTCGGGGGACTGTAAACGCCCATGATCCTCTTCATTTTGATTGAATCTCTGGGTCCACTCAGGTTAGAATAAATATAATAGGACAACTATATCTCTTACTTGAGCATGTAAAGGGCATGGATATCATTTTCAAACAACTTTTAAGATTTTACTTTTCAAACTCCCTTGGGAGTTTTATTGAGGACAATTCAAAGATCCATGTTCACTCTAAAACTTTGTATGGAATTTGCTAGAAATAAAAAAAATCAACTGCAACATAGGAAGATATGTAATTTGAATTTAAGTTTATTTTGGATTTAATCATAATCAGTCTTATCACCAAATCATATGAAGTTAATTAATTTACTGTCGGAAACTAGAGCTAATCATTGTATACACTAAAATTGATCAAATTAGATGGCACAGATAAACATTTACTGACATATAATCTTCAACATTAATGTCAATGTCTTTATTTAACATCCCTAGCACATTTAAAGTTGTTAGAGTGTGGTCTAGATCTTCTCAGCACTAGTATACATGCAAATAGAAAGAAAACCATTATCCATCTGTTGGGCTTATAAAGTTTCGTCTAGGTGGCCAACTATTTTAGCATGCGGATTACGGAACATTCGGTTTTTAACTTTAGTTATTTTGTATCTATACATATTTCTGACACTCTAAGATGAAAAAAAACAAAAGTCCCATCATCGTGTTATTTTATTCTTGTGACAATAAATCGGCGATATCAGACACGGTAAAAAGAACTATGGTATTCGCAAAATGACCATGGCCAATCAGTCGTCCGTTATTATTATTGCCAAGGGACACAATCGGAACACAGGGGTTCGTTACAAATATGATATACTGACTGGGTCACAGCACACATAAACTGTGACCCATATCAGTATGTCATATGTGTATTTAAGACATTTGTAACGAACCCCTGTGATAGGAAAGCACACCGGAGATTTGATGCCAAATTCACCGCTATTCTCCATGATTCAATTTCTGATGATCGACACCACAGTTTTTATAAACAATGCATCTCTTCTTCCACTAACAATGCCTTGTCGTGTTACGTCTAATTGCCTGCCATCACCCCCTCTTTTTCGGTGAAAGCCTCTTTCCGACTTTCAACTGACGACAACCGCAGAGAAGTTTTTTAACCCGACTTTGACGTCTAGAATTTAAGGGTTCATAATCAACTCGCTGAGTATTTTCGTAAATAATCGGACGATATACGCGTGCAATACACATGTATTTAAACAAGCATATTAAAACAATGATAAAAACCACTCTCCTCCAATTAGGTAAATCATCACACCAGTTTCCCCGTAGTTTTGTAACAAAATTGCCTTCTTTCGCGAAAGAGTTCGCTGTGAGGCCGCTTAGTTCACGAGAAATACGTTCTTAGTTGAGAACGTTCTCAAATATTTGAGAAAGGCAATTTTGAGAACTTCTCGGCTAAGCAGAAAGAAGTTTCGTGCAAGTGGGGCCAGGCCCCGTTCTCACAAAGCTTCCTTAACTTTGAGGATGTCCTTAAGTCTAGGATTTTCCTCAAATACGGTTCTCACAAAACATTTGAGGAAATGTTCTTCCTTATCTTTGATGATTTCCTCAAATATATTTAAGACTCCAGTCATTCAAGATGGCGAATACCCACAACATGATAAGATTAAGAAGAAGAGTTAGACGCCGCCGTCGTATTTTTAGGCGCGTATTTGACCAGTTCGGCGACCGGGACGTATACCAGCGGTTCCGGTTCCAACTTGAAACCATCAATTTTATTGTCGGTTTATTGACTCCAAACATCTAACCAGCAGGAGCTTGGCTGTATCCCCCTTTTTGCAGGTGCTGGCTGAACAGTTAAGGGGACAGGGTATAAATACAGGGGAGGCAATTAGGGAGAGTTCATTAGAACCAGATGTTTTCCATATTTTTTATATACAGGGGATGCAATAAGGGAGTTAATTAGAATCAGATATTTTAAATATTTTATTACTAAAAGGTACAATATTTGAATTAATTTTACTTTTTATCTTAAATATGTGCACATTGCATCTGTTAATAGCAAACAAACTATAATTCAAAATGCAATTCAATTCAATTTCTTCTGTAGCTGATTAAGTCTTGATCCTAATTCGTTTTGTTTTATCAAATATTTCAACAGGTAATCATTCATATAAATACCGTAATGTTAAAAGTTCAAACTATTTTAGGGAGAGTTTCACAAGAACTCTTTTTAGACTAATGAAGGAATTTTAATGAAACTTGGTAGGATATTACATTATATGATGTAGATGTGCATATTAGCTTAAGGGGGTTTTTTAACAATTTTTGGGGGAAAACAGTGAAAATGTAGATAATTGAATAATGTTTACATTAACAAGTTTTTTGTATTTTCTTTTGGTTTAACTGTTATTAGCATACAATATATAAGATTCAAAAGTTTGTCTCGGTATGCAGTTTTATGTTATTAGACTATTCAATAAAGTTTTAAGAAACAAAAATAAAACAATATAAACATGTAACACCCCAAAACTTATTCACTGGATGGTATTCTGGACATAGAATCTTGGTTCACTTTTGAAAATTTGACAAAACTTTATAACTTATTTTGATAATATTTGGTTTATGCTAATAACATATTTTTCCTCAACTCAAATAGTTTAACTTCATGCTCCTTTTGGAGCTGAATCAAGCCACATTCTAGATCAATTTTTCTTATTTCTGCTAAAGCCCTACGCTTTTCAGTACTCGGCACATCTTCCACGAGATCAGGTTTTCCCCCCTCTTCTTAGTAATTTATGTGTTACTGGGGAGATTCTTCCACCTCAATGGATGTCTGTGCTGGTGCAGGTACAGGTACATATGGTAGATGTATAGGAATGTCATAAATGTTGACATTTCCTTCAGTTAACAACTCATTTAAATGTGCAAAAAAAAGTGTTGTCATATATATATATACAACAACTAATCTATCAAAGATAAATATGTTTAATCGTATTCTGATTGATAAGAACTAATCACTAATTTACTTCTTAGTTTAATAGCAGCATGTTGGCTCAGTAGGTAGAGCGTTTGCTTTGTGCTGGTAGACTGGTGCTGAAATCCCAGTTGCAGGTTCGATTCCTTGCAGTTAGATGCGTCAAAACCTAAGACGTTAAAATTAGAAAACCTCTTGCTCCCTGTGAGACAGCACTATAAAACCACCATAAGTGTGCACTGTTATAAGCGGACACTGTTTCAATATGATCTATACATGACTTAAAGGGATGTAAAACCCAGATAAAACAAACAAACCTTTTTAAAATTACAAATCACTCATGCAAGACTTATAAAATAGTATAGCAATTTAGTTTGGTTAAATGGAATAAAATTTATGTACCACTGATCACCACATTATTGTACAATTTTTTACATAGATGCCAACCCTCACTATTTTGGAGGGATCGATCGTGTCTCCCTATTTTTCACATGTCACAATTTTCACTTTTGACATCAGTATAATTTCTAAACCTTGCTCATCAACTTACTTCAACTTAGTATATTGCACATAAATGCTTAAATGAGTCGGTTTACACAACTATTTTGCTACATATTTTCACAATTTCAAACAATTGGCAAATATGTATGCTAATATGCTACCTTTACTGCTTTCTATGGGATTTACTTCAATCCCATCCATGTCTGCTGGAGACACAAATTCTAAAAGACGGGTCTGTAATAAAAAAATATATACACATTTCAATTATTTTTAAATAACTAGAAATTGATACTTGATAAATTTACAATTGATTTTTGTGCTACAAGTTCTATTACACAATTAAGAATACAGTTCATCCCAAATTATGCTTTGCAAATGCAAAAAGGACCTGTATGATATTAATAAAAGTATTGAATGAAATATCGTAATACCTTACATTTATAATTAGATATATTTTTTTATGGTCAAGATGTTTTACACCGATTGCACTTATGGAACCCAAAAGGGCATTTCAGGGCTTGGTTAAAGAAAATTATTTTGTAATTATTTAATTACTCCAACTTTAAATATTCATATTTGACAAACCTTCTGTGTCATAGGCCATAGGGAGACCACATAAATTTGGCCTTCCTGACATCTGCTCTAATGATAACCTCTGAGAAGCTGATGGAGATGCTGGTCTTGGGCCACCCCCAGTTTTAGGCTTCTTATTATGATCATATTTTTGTTTTGCTTTAATAAAACAAATCTTAATTTATACACACGGATTCATGCATTATCCAAAAGACAATATGTAAATTTATATAATGAAGTTAACTAATACTTTCATGTATGTGTAATTCACTGTTTTAATCTAATACATTAAATCTAAGTTAAAACAGTAGGTTATATCATATTTATATATAAAGGTTTTAATTTTAAGCAAAAAAATTGGTTTAAATATACCTCGTGTCTTTACATTGTCAAATTGCTTCTTCAGCTGATCTAATGACCTCGGAATATCAGCTTGTCTGAAAAATGAGAGTACAAATGTAATTCAAGGTTAAATTGAAGTAACAAAATATAAATTGAGAGTGCAGGTTGTTTATGAACATGCATATTACTTTCTATATGTAAATACTACATTATGTCATTGAATTAATTATATGATCCTGATAGTTCATTTGTAACAGTATATTCACAATTTCAATAAAACCATTGTCACAATATGCGCAATACAAATAACTTCATACTGGTAATTCTTTTTTTTTTATATTGAGGATTTCTATCAAAATATTTGAGCTTTAAATCATCTTACTTGCTGTAAACAGTACTTTTTCTAAATACTTATGGCACTAGAGAAATACTTATCAGACATTTGATAATTGTTTGTTTTCTCCTATATATAGTTATTGTGGATATAATTTGTTTCATGTATATTAGTTACATGCATGTATGTGATTTGATGTAATTGAATTGGTAAATTCGAAAATACATATACATGTATAATATCAATATTTAAAGGAATGTTGAACATATCAATATATCTAGGCTATTTTTCGGGGTTAATTAAGGCCTGATAAAAAATGTGTGTGTTGCAGGTAGCATGCCNGGGGGGGGGGGGGGGGGGGGGTAAGATTGCATAAATTAATTGTTCTTTCTTTACGGAGTATAGTTAGGATTTTACAACACTGATTAACAGCTGAAATGCAATATAACTCGCCAATTACAGACAAAAGGTTTAAAAACAAGAACAGTAGAAAATCTTGATTTGAATAAAACGTTGTTCGGTTTCTTAGAAATTAGGATATAAGTAGGGTTACCTGAATTACACATATTTTAATTTATTATTAAGATTTCTATTAATTTGAATTTTGAAGATCACAATTAATTAGATACTTGCACTTTATTTACGCCTTACTTCTTTGTGTCTTAATTGATATAAAACCAGTAGTTCATAATAGTTGCATTCTAGAATGTGACCCATGTTGTCAATTTGGGCAGTCAGAGCCGGTAACTTTTTTTTTATTTATTTGAGTTATAATAGTGGTACCTGTTTATGAATAAATGACAACAGACCATGGTATTTAAACCTCCTACCAGCTTGACATAGGGTGTTTAAACTTTTTCTAATATAATAAAAGTAAGAAAATACTCTGGCCTTATAATACTCTTTTTTCAATTCATTATTTATACACTGTTCCATCTACAGTATACATATTCAGACAAGGTGACGGGGGGGGGGGATGGAGAGAAAACAACGATAGACAACATGACCTAAAGTCGATTGTCTGGCTTACTAGCGAAGGTGCGATAGTGAAAAAGTCGAACGAGACTCTAGACTAACCGTGTAACAAAATAAACATGGAAGACAATAAACAAATGGGAAGTACCTACGCATTAAACTTGGAGACAATCTCCTTCCACGCATCGGCTTTCACCTGTGCCTTCCGAAGGGGCCCCTTGTATTTCCTAAAAAGAACTGTTTCATGTGGCTGCATTTCAGAGATAAACAGCACTCTGTCTTTCTCTCTCCAATTCGGACACCGGGGTTTCTTGGCCGCTTCCATAATTATGTGTTTGTTTACAATTGTTTTTTTATTGATTTCCAATCAAAAAAGAGTTCACCGCTGGCCGCTTATGCCAACGGAAATCTTTCCCCATGTTCGATCGTGAGAGCCAACTTAAGGAAAATCTTAGCTAAGGAATACTTCTTCCTCAACTCAACAAGTTAAGGAAGCTTTGTGAGAACGGGGCCAGATCAACGCTATCACCCCCGTCCCAGCATACATGTACATACACGTTTACACAACACGCCCGCAAATGACTTTAGAGCTGTAAAAAGGACGTCAAATAATATAAAACAAAACTGCAGTGGGTAACGGCAGGTGTATTTTTCTCGATCTCCGACCTGCAAGTGTGTAATAAAATTCATACATGATGCATTTGGATAGATCTAAAATTGCTTTCCTTCTCGTAACGTTCTTCGTTTATTATTTCTTTATTTCATTTTTATATATTTTTTCGTAATATATGGCTTATCACAGCTGTCAAGTCACGCTCGTTTCAGACTTTAATGCATCACACCTGTTTCACAACAACCTCTGCGTAGCTACAAGTCACATAAATATGGAACCACACAACATAAATAACAACAGAATTCACTGTAAACACTTAAATAAATGCACGGGGGCACGGGGCATCAACAATGTCAATGTGGTGTACTGACAAAAGGTATCCAAGCGGAAAGACAATTCCAAGAGTCTTTCTTAATTATCTTCTAATTGTTGTTAACAATTACAAACCAAAGTCTGATATCAAAGTTCATGCTTGCTTAAAATACATAATATGTGTATACTTGATTTTCTAATTAAAGAATTTTTAAGTGAACTACTATTTTTAAGGACTTTGGTATGTCACGGCCTGGGGACAGAACCCATTGCCTTCCTCGCCTGGGTAAACTGTCAACATTACAACCAAAAGTGAGGTGATGCCGAGCAAATCACTAACGGAAATAAGTAGAGAGGAACATAAGGGTATTGCAATAGGTGCAGCAGGTTTATATTGGTCGGTTTTGTGTCCCCAAATAGGAGTGCACAAAAAGCAAACCACTAATTATGCAGGCGTTACTTCATTAGTCGCCTCTTACGATACATGCAGTAGGTAACAGCAGGTATATTCTTTTCTCGATCCCCGACTTGCAGGGGTAGGTGCCTAGGAAGTGCCTGAAACAGAGAGTAGATAGAAAAGAAAGTCAGGGAAAATAGGAAACGAAGAAGATCCCAAGGTTAGCAGATTAAATTTGGCCTCTTCCATCTCGCCTTCGTAGAAGAAAATTTGTCGCCTTTTACAATACACATGCAGTGTGATACAGCAGTAATATCCTTGATTTTTTTAATGTCCCCTTAATAGAAAACAAGGACATCTGCAACGGACCCACATTAGTCGTCTCTGCCGATCATGCATTCGGATACAGCAGGATTATTCTTTCCCCGAACCTGCACGGGTTACAGGTTGCTTAGAATGAGTAAATATTGTTCATTGTTTTCAACAATTGGGATTATTTAAGGACGTGCCTCCCCGTGTGTTGTGTATGTGTCATGGTTATAATGTAAATCGAGCTTGAATGATTTCCAGTAGAAAATGAACAAAATATACCCAAAAGTTGGAATTTTCTATTTACAAATATATATACACGGAACGTTTTTGTTCCATCAGGACCAAATCGTCTGTATCTACCAACCTGCCTACGTCTTCCTTTCAGTCCGTGTGTCGTCATGTCAAGTATCCAACCATCTCTATGATAGGCCAGGTGTGCATGCGTTCGCATATTGAGATTCAACACTCTCTTGGTCAACTTCCGAGGAAAAACAGTGCCTAGGGAGATCTATCATCAGATGTGTTTGCCTCGGCCAAGTTTATAGATTTGACGAGATCATTAAGGTATCCGGATTAAAGCGGATCTGTGGCAATTGCCATACAATACATTACTTGCCATACAATACATTACTACAAAAATTCGACATTTTAACTTCAGGGTACACACATTTCCACGTTCTACAAATGCTTGTCCATGTGATATAACTAACACTGTCTTCACAACAGCCAGTAGCTTGTCATACTTATCGTTGGACAGCTGTTCTGTATAGAATGTATCAAACCTGTGTCTGGTTTTTGAAAAATTGGTATAAAAAAAACTTGGGTCAACAAACTTAATTATATTCTTCAGCAATCTGATCACGGTCTTCATAAACTTTCACAGCGTTTCTTCAGCACACGAGTGCTTCCTTGAAACTTCTGCCCTGCAGGTAGGGCGGAAGAATTGTACCTGCTGCCCCCAATTGCATGATCGTAAGAGGCGACTAAATTTGGGACCTTATCTCTTCTCTCCTTTCTAAATAACTTTCTTTTTCCTAATGCCTCCCTTGACAATGCCTCACTTTTGGCCATTTGTTGAGCGTTCGCCCCTGTGAGGAAGGCTTTGGGTTCTGTCCCCTGGCCGAGACATACCAAAGTCTTTAAAAATGGCAGTTTCTACTCCTGCTTAACGCTCAGCAAATAAGGAGTGGGACGACTGGTTCGCCCGTTGTCAGTATAATGTGACCGGGTGGGGCGTCCTGCTGGGTGTCTTCGGCAGTATGTTTCAGTGAGGTAGCACTATAAAGTCGGCATCAGTTCCGCGCTATTACAAGAAGACAAACACGAACATATCGCAGCCTCCCAAAATACACACACAAAAACTACACGCATGCATCTTGCACACAGGGGAGGCCGTCCTTAAATGACCTTAGCTGTTAATAGGGCGTTAAACAAAATCAAACAAACAAACAAACAATCCTTGAAACTTGATCTGCAGATACGGGGATCAGTAGTTATATCCCTGGGGTTGAGTCATGACAAGTTCCTTACAAGAGAAAAGGTGATAGGACATTTGAGTACGATCTTTTTACATGTTTCACAGAGAAACTGTCTGGCATCCATCCTGAAATCCATTTTCTGTTTGTCCGATATTCCCCCGCTTCCCTGACTATGTGTCATGTCCTTCTTAAGAGCTTCTTCTGTGGCAATTCCAATGTCAACGTCAACTTTCTTGTATGTTACAAGTTTGTCCTTCTGGGTGACATCAATCTTAGACAGTTTATCTAAACAATGCCCATAAGGTATCATTATTATAGCGTTTTTTAGTGCTTTCCACATTATTTTTTTCAAGTAACCATGGTTTACACAATTGTTGATTTTTTTTACATTTTCTTAATTCACCTGAGAACATCCTCAAAGTGATGTGCTTGTTCTCGTGTCCTTGTTCAGTCCGAACAGTCTAAGGTCGTTATCTGTGTGTCAGAAGGGGTTTGGTTTTATTTTGTTGAACATTTATGAACGTGCCTCCATGCGTGTAGTGTAAGCGTGTGCGCGTGTATGTATGTGTGCCAGAGACATTGTATGTTGGTGTACTTGTCCCTTACGAACATGTCGCAGCCTCCCAAAACACAGGCGCATGATTCTTGCACATTTCGGAGGCCGTCCTTAAATAACCATAGTTGTTGCAGCCTCCCAAAACACACGCATGCATATTGCACGCAGAGGAGGCCTTCCTTGAATTACCATAACGTCACTGTACGCCATTTGGTACATCTTTTGTATATTCTATACGATTTTATCAATATCAAATAACATACATTTGATATTTGTTGATTTTTTACAAAGACTGCCATTGGGTTTCTCGTGGACAACACTATTTTTCCGACGGATATGCAAGCTATTTATAGAACGTTTTACTTGGTGTGACGTCGCTTCCGGTTTTCGTTTGGCGATCGGAACCCATTTGGTACAGAGAAAGAATTTCGCTAGAAAAAACAGTGAACTCCACGGAAACTTCTTAAAATGCCTGGATTATAAAGGTATAGTATGTTTTTACACTTACTGCCGTTTCAAACCTGCCGTTTCAGTTTGAAATAACTGTATGTAAAATTTTCGCTTTTCAAATATGTCAAATGTTGACAAAATGAAATGTACCTCCATTTTTGTAATTGTCACCCGGCGTGCTTTCGTGGATTTATTTTACCGTTACAGCGACCGTTCCCTTTTTTATTTACTATACTGCAAAAGTTGCAACTATTATAGCAATGTTCGTCCAGAAAGACGACGAGTACAAACCTTGTAAGGACAACATCTATAACGAGCACCTGTTACCAATTTGCTTTTTTTCAACAGATTTTGTATTTAGTTCTTATTGCGATAATTCATAGGTTTGCTGTGTGACTGAAGTCAAAAAGCAAATTGTGACTGATCTAAATGTTTGATACCGTTTGTTTGTTTGGTGATGGGTTTTGGGTTTTTTTGCACTCTTATCCGAAGCAGGTGGATCCGAAGATTGTGGGTTGGAGAAAAAAAGAAAAAAAAACTTTGTAAATTTGTAATTATTATTTACATGTTGTAGAATTTTACTTTGTCTGCAATTTAATAATCACATTTTGTTTAAGTGTATAAAATTAATCTAAATTAGTTTTAAATATTAAATTATAATGCACTCTACTCCACTTTTGAGGTATGAACCAAACATTAATTGGAATCACAGTAATTTGTTCAGAAATAAGATTCATCATACATGTACATATTCTTCCACTTCATATATATTTAGCTTACATCATATTACTTTCATTATCCAAATAAATATAATTAAGCTCTCAACATGTATTCCGTATACATTCTATTGAAGATCTACACAGATTAACGCTGTCTTTTGCTGGATACTACATTACAAGTCAATTTGGATTCAAGTTGAAGAATGATTCTTGAAGGTACAGGCATGGAAAACAGGAATCTAGCACACTTTATCAAAATATAATTAAAATATGAAAATAATGTTTATTTCATAATTAAAATATCAGACTCGCATGTTAAATTATGACTGAAATTGTTTCGTGTATCGTGGGAGATCTTTTTTACAGTGCATGACACATCTAACAACACCATGGCGAGCCTGCTGCCTTCCTTAATTCAAAGACCCGGTATCATTTGGTACAATAATGACATATTGCCAAATATAGCTCTGTTTCGATTGGCGAAACAA